TGAGCGGTCCGGATTTGATGAGTTTGAACGATAATCAATGGGATCAGCTTTGTCAATATGAAGAGATTGTTTTCGCACGTACTACTCCTGAGCAGAAGCTACGCATCGTCAAAGGTATTTTTTCAAGTTTACTTCACGCACTATTTTGCATACGACTAACAAGAATACAGAGTTTCAAAAGCGTGAAAATATTGTAGGTATGACGGGCGACGGAGTCAACGATGCCCCATCTCTAAAGGCCGCCGACATTGGTATCGCTCTCGGTAGTGGCTCAGATATTGCCATTGAGGCTGCCGATATGGTCCTTCTCGATTCTTTCGGTGCCGTTGTCGAAGCCGTCAAATATGGTCGTGTAGTCTTTGACAACCTCAAGAAAACTATTATCTACCTTCTTCCCGCAGGAACCTTTTGCGAATTCCTCCCCATCATTACCAACGTCATTCTAGGTCTTCCTCAAATTCTGAGCTCTTTCCTCATGATCATGATTTGTTGTCTCACAGATTGTGCTGGTGCCACAGTTCTTGCTTATGAACAACCGGAGGCCGATGTACTTTTGAGGAAACCAAGAGATGTTAAAAAAGATAAGCTGGTTGATTGGAAATTGTTATTTCATGCCTACATTTTTCTGGGTGTACAACAAGCTATTGCGTCATTTGCGATGGCTTATTGGTATTGTCAACGGAGAGGAGTTACATTTTCGATCTTGTGGTTGGGCTATGGAAAGTATCCGCCTCATTTGAGTGATGCATATGTACAGCAAGTGTTGGCTGTGGCTAGTAGTATTTATTTTGTCAATTTGGTTATCATGCAGTGGTTTAATTTGATGGTAAGTCACTTTCCTTCACTTTGTACCTATTCTCCCCAGCTCTTCTTGCTTTAATTTCTCACTTCCTGACTAACCAAAACCCAGGCAACTCGCACCCGTCGCCTCTCAATTTTCCAACAGCCACCTGCATTCAATAAAGCAACACAAAATCTCTGGCTTTTTCCTGCAATAATTTTCGCCCTCGTCGTAATATTCATCTTCCTCTACATACCAGGATTGGCGTCTGCAATCAACAGTAGCCCAATTCCAGTGGAGTATTTCTTCTTGCCGTTGGCTTTTGGTATGTGGATACTTTTCACGGACGAGGTGAGAAAGTTTTGTGTGAGAAAGTGGCCAGAGGGTTGGTTGGCGAGAATAGCTTGGTAGAGGGGCAAAGAAGGGAAGGTAACTTTGACGCTTTTGGGGGTAGAGGATAGGAGGTTAGAGCTGTTGGGAGCGGTAATGCAAGATGCTAGATATTTTGGGTTTATTAGAATGTAGAAATGGGAGGGATTCTTGATTTTGATGGGCGGCGCTAGCACTTCTTCGTTACAGATTATGATCATGTTATGGATATCAGAATATGTTTCGACGAATTTATGGACAATGAAAGGATTGCGATTCACTTTGTATATATATGATTGAATGACCAATGCTTGGTAGGTTTCTATACATAGGTAGACAGCTGGAGTTCATCATACCTGAGTTGACTATAAGCCATGAAACTTCTGTGAGCTCTTGATCAAAATTCAGATAACTCATAGTTTGGGTATTGGAAGAGAGTATTCTATCACTTTTGTGAAGACAATTAGTTGCTATGACCATTATCAATGAGAACTCAATGGCTTGCTTGAGGCCACCAATGATTGAATCTTCCATTCAATTTTGAAGCTGGAGATGTGTCTTGAATGATATGTGATAATACAAATGACCCATACAAAGTACACCAGTATGAATACTCGTAAATCATAAGAAATTCTTACTCATCTCATATTCTCATCTGTTCTCAACATCTTGCATAAAAGGGGTACGGACGGACACTAGTGAAGCTCTACCATTTGCTGACTCATCCCCATGCACCCAAAGGCCACATCTTTACATTAAGGCACCAGTCCCAAAATTTACTAGTGCCACCACCTTGAATTAATCCCAAGCTTTGAGATCTGTTCGGATTATTATTCCTGTCAACACTTCACAATCTGCGACATTTATTCAAATAGCAGAGCACAGTGCCAACGTGCCATTCTTTAACTCTTCTTCTCATTCTTCTTTTTCCACTTCTGTGAGGTTTTCAGATATTAAACCGCCAAGATGAGTGGCCGTAAGTTATATCTTTTCTTCCTGCACAGCTCATCGTCATAAGTGTGGATGAGCTTCTAAAACTTCAAATTTCTTCCCACAATCAATTGCAAAATACTGACAATGTATCTTTATAGTTCGATTCCTCGATCTCATCAAACCCTTCTCGCCGTTCCTCCCTGAGGTTCAGCAACCCGAGACAAAGGTCCCATTCAACCAAAAGTTGATGTGGACGGGTTTGACATTATTGATATTCTTGGTTATGAGCCAAATGCCATTGTATGGTATTGTGTCCTCAGATACCTCCGATCCTTTATACTGGTTGAGAATGATGTTGGCAAGTAACAGAGGTACCTTGATGGAATTGGGTATTACACCAATTATCTCCTCCGGAATGGTTTTCCAACTTCTTGCTGGTACCCATTTGATTGATGTTGATCTTGACTTGAAGGCTGATCGCGAGTTGTATCAAACCGCGCAAAAGCTCTTCGCTATTATCTTGTCAATGGGTCAAGCTACTGTTTATGTCTTTACTGGATTGTACGGTCAACCATCCGATCTCGGTGCTGGTGTCGTCTGCCTTCTCATCCTTCAATTGGTTGTTGCCGGTTTGATTGTTATTCTCCTCGATGAGCTCCTCCAAAAAGGATACGGTCTTGGAAGTGGTATCTCCCTCTTCATCGCTACCAACATCTGCGAGTCTATCATCTGGAAAGCATTCTCTCCCACTACCATCAACACCGGTCGTGGCCCAGAATTCGAAGGTGCCGTTATCGCACTCTTCCACTTGCTTTTGACATGGCCAAACAAGCAACGTGCTCTCCAAGAGGCTTTCTATAGACAACAACTCCCCAACATCATGAACCTTTTGGCCACTATCGTCGTTTTCGCAACTGTTATCTACCTCCAAGGTTTCCGCGTTGAGATCCCAGTCAAATCTTCCCGCCAACGTGGTGCTCGTGGTTCTTACCCAGTTCGTCTTTTCTATACCTCCAACATGCCAATTATGCTTCAATCCGCCCTTTCTTCCAACGTCTTCCTTATCTCCCAAATGTTGTACTCCCGCTTTTCTGAGAACTTGCTTGTCCAACTTTTCGGTGTTTGGGAGGCAAAGGAGGGTTCAGCACAACTTTTCGCTACTTCCGGTATCGCATACTACATGTCCCCACCTTTGAACTTCACCGATGCTCTTCTCGACCCAATCCACACTGCCGTCTACATTGTTTACATGCTTGTCGCATGTGCCATCTTCTCCAAGACTTGGATTGAGGTTTCCGGTTCCGGCCCAAGAGACGTTGCTAAGCAACTCAAGGATCAAGGACTTGTCATGGCTGGTCACAGAGAACAAAGCATGTACAAGGAGTTGAAGCGCATTATTCCTACTGCTGCCGCATTTGGTGGTGCTTGTATTGGTGCCCTCTCTGTTGGTAGTGATTTGATGGGAGCTCTCGGCTCTGGAACTGGTATTTTGTTGGCTGTCACGTAAGTACATTCATTTCAATAGTACCCAATACAAATGACTAACACTTTCATAGTATTATCTACGGATACTTTGAGATCGCCGCAAAGGAGGGTGATATGGCCGGCATGAAGGGCATGATCATGGGATAAGGAAATCCCTTTTCATATCTTTCAAATTCTTCTTGTATGCTTGATTACATAAAAGAAAAGCAAAATGATTTAGGATTGGTGGTTGTTAGGAAAATCGGGACGGGTTTCGGAGATCAAAGATGTGTAGATGAAAGAGACAATATCATTTTATCTACATACTGACTATGATCTTTGTGTAATGTAACAATAGGTGCGGATAGGTTGGGGATGGGGATGGGTGTACTTTTTGGGACTGCATTGCATGAAATCTGATGGTAGCATGAGTTATAAAAAGCAGGCACTTATTGTACAATTTGTAAAGAAATGTTTGATAAAGATTGGGTTTGCGTTGTGATTGTAATTGTGATTATAACGATGTGGATACTGAATGCTATAGAAGCTATACCAAGTGTGCTGTTGTAGGAATTGTACTGTAATCATTATATACTACCTAGGTAGGTGATAATAGCTCTATCAAAGTGTAGGTACGAAGCATAAAGTTAGTGAATTAGTGGATCGGTTAATTAATTATTAGTCTGTCTGTCTGATATTTATTAGTGTGTCGGGTGTGTGAATTAGATACTTAAGGTAGTTCAGTTGGTTTGTTGGATTAGATCTCTTTAGGGAATAGGGTATAGGTAGGTAGTTGGTCAGTTAGATAGATCGGTAGCTATCTACCTAGGTACCTAGACTTAATAAGTAGTTTGGTCGTTTCTTGCTTTGCTTTGCTTTGCTTTGCTTTGCTTTGTTCTCCTTCTGTTTCTGTTCCTGTTTCTGTTCCTGTTCCTGTTTCTGTTTCTGTCTTTGTTTCTGTTTCTCAATCAACTCACCCACTCATATATCCCCCCCCCCCCCATCACTCCCCCCCCTCCCCCTAGAACCCAGACCAGAAATGAAGCCAGAACCGCAACCAATCAACCAACCAACCAACCAACCAACCAACCACTCAATGACATTGAAATTTGAAATGTAACAAGTTGTTCTGATTTTAATCCTTATTTATTCCTCATCGTTATCGTCTCTCTTTCATGAAAAATATATGTATACCTCGCCGAACCTTGCCCAACCACAACCACCACCAAATCTACTCACAGCAGCACAAATAAGTAATTTTTCCACCACCCACCGATCCCAAATGCAAATAACCAACCAGGCCCAACAATCCATCTACAGAATTTCAAAATCCCAATGCATTTATTTATTTACCACAAAAGAAAGAAAAAATTATGTATAGTTCTTCCCCATTCTCCAAAATGCACTATACTACATCCTTCCTTCCTTCCTTTCCTCCTCGCTTTCCCCCTCTCTACTCATCATCCACTAGTCTCTTTGCCTCCCAAGCCTTCTTCGCCGCCTCCTTCAACCCGTCCAAATCTCCACTCGTCTCACACATCCCTCTAAAAATCGCATCCTTCCCTTCCTTCTTCAACAACTCATGCGGATGGGCATATTCTACCACCTCTCCCTTATCCAATACCAACACCTTATCATAATCCACAATTGTTTGCAAACGATGCGCAATTGTGATAATCGTACTCTTGAGTTCCCTTATCGTTTCTTGAATCTTGGCATCAGTGGTATAATCAATAGAAGCAGTAGCTTCATCCATCATGAGAACCTTGGGTTGTTTAAGTAAAGCGCGAGCTAAACAAAGAAGTTGTCGTTGACCTTGTGAGAGATTGTTTCCTGATTCTGTAACGGTGGAATTGAGGTTCAAGAAGATATTCTTGTTGGTGGTTGTAGAGCCTGATAATGATTCAATAGATGGTGGTCGTGAGACACCTGGGGTGGAAGGAGCTGTCGATGTTCCTACTGGTCCAATCAAATGAACCCTTCGTAAAGCTGTAAAGATATCTTCATCTGTAAAGAGGTTGAAAGGATCTAAATTACTTCGAATGGTACCTGTGAAAAGGGTTGGATCTTGTGGTACGATGGTTATTCTCTCACGAAGATCACGAAGGCCAATAAGACCAACATCAACATCATCAATCAAAATCTTTCCCTCCTCGGCCTCAAGACCACGGAATAGAGCAAGGGCAAGAGAACTCTTTCCTGCACCTGTACGGCCAACGATACCAACTTTTTCCAAAGGTCGGATTTTGAAACTGACATTTCGTAATACAGGATCCAAGTCTTCCCTATATCTTGTGGTGTAATTAATGAATTCCACAGATCCTTGACTTGGCCAGTTCTTGGCCGGCTCAGTTTCTTCAATATACTCTGCTGCTTCTTGCTCGACGTCCAGATACTCCTTGATTCGCTCTACGGAGTTCATGTTTTGTTCATTCATAGAATATAGCCGTACCATCCAAAGAACATTCTCCGTAAAACTGATGGCATAACTTAGGGACAGACCAGCCGAACCAGCATCAATAGTACCAATACTACTGACAATAAATGCTCCTGCGAAGAATGCGACGAGATCACCGACCAAGTCAATTCTGAATGATAACCATCGATTTGCTGCCCATAGATAAATAAATGGTCGACTATGAGTGTTGATTCGTAACATGTTGTCTCGAACAAATCGTTTTTCATCACCATAAGCTCGGATAGTGGTAACTCCGTTGAGTGTCTCTCCGAATTGCTGGAACAATGGACTTCTTTGAATTGATTCAATTCTCTTCAAATCTCTTGATGATCGAAGATAGAATTTTCCAACAAAGAAGTACATAGCACTGATGAATACACCTGCAATCAAGAAGCCAGGAGTGATAGCAGTGATCAAAGCGACCGTTACAATAATAGCCAAGGCACATGACATGACTCCAATGGCGATAGGTGCGACTTCTTGATCAACAGCTTCCAAGTCCTTACTAAACCGATTCATGAGTTGACCTAATGGAGTCGAGTCAAAGAACTTAAATTTTGCTCGGGTGACGGCTTTCATCAAATTCTCGTGGATTCTCCAACTTGCGGTAAGAGAACCAAAGAAGAGCCAGAAGTCTCTGAAAAGGGCAATCAACATGCATGCGATACCAATCAAAGCATAAACCCCGAGATAATATCCAACATCAACATCTGGAGCGAGCTTCGCCACAATCGAAGTCTTGTTAGGGTCGAAATATGGTTGAACTTGAGATAACTTTGAGCTCGCGACTTGGATAGTAGAGATAGTATTGCCAATGTAATTGTTTGCGGATAAGTGATATTTGGTTCGGACAGCTTCAGCATCATATCTATAGGTTCATTAGCACAAGTCGATAGCTGAAAAGTGCACGTTTTATAGCTTACTGATTTGCCCATTGCTTAATCCATATATTGGCCCCAAGAGCGCCAACTTGTTGGACTCCAAAAACCATTACAGCGAGAACCCAGAACCACCAAGGACCCATGGCTCTCAAATACAATACGAGGACTCTCCATTTGACACCACCCTCTGCTTTTGTTTCGGCCATGGCGTTTTTCTTTTCTTTGGATTTCTTCGCCTTTGGTTTTGCATTTGCATCGTCCGGCTTACCATTTGCAGATTGCTCCTCAATAAGAGTTTCGTTGCTCTCCTCACCGATGCTAGAAGGGACTCGAGATGGGATTCGTGAGTGAAGAGCAGAAGCGGGGCTTGATTTAGTAATTTCCTCTCCTAATTTCCCTGAAGCTATAACCTTATCTGCGGATCCTTGTTCGGTGATCCTACCGTTCTCGAGACAAACAACATATCGAGAATGAGGAACACAGAGAGATAAATTGTGCGTGACTAAGATGCATGTACGATCAAGCATCAATGGTCCTCGAATACAATTATCGAATATCCACTTGGCAGTATGTGAATCCACAGCACTCAAACAATCATCGAGGAGTACATGTTTAGAGTTGGAGTAAAGAGCTCTTGCGAGAGAGATACGTTGCTTTTGGCCACCGGAAAGACTGATGCCCTTTTCACCCACAAGTGTTTCATCGCCATCATCCAGAATGTCCAGATCACGTTCTAAAGCGCAAGCAATTATCACATCCTTGTATCTCTGTTCATCCAGTGGAGCAGCAAACAAAATGTTTTCCTTGATATTAGCGTTCACGAGCCAAGGTTGTTGAGCGCAATAAGCGACGGTTTCAGTAAGACCAGTTTCGGGGTCGGGTCGGACATCTTCACGACTGAAACCGCCAGGTAGGAACACCTTTCCTTTGATTAGAGCCATCTCGCCGAGAAGAGCCATCAGGAGAGACGTCTTTCCAGATCCAGTGGGTCCAGCAATGATGTTCAAATGACCAATTTCGAATTTGACATTCAAATCCATCATTCGGAATGCAGTTGAGACATCTTCATCAGTGAAGGCTTCTTTGCCACCCCAGGACAAAGTAGCATTCTTAAATCCAATCATTTGATTACCATCCTCATCCAAGTTATCATGTGAGAGCTGATCGTACTTTTCAGTCTCGTCTTCATTTAAGAATTCCTCTACTCGATTGATTGATACTTGACTTTCCTGAACATGAGCTATCATGTCGCCCAATTGATCCAGAGGAACGCGTAGAATATTAAAGAGTGAGATAGCTGTGAATGCGATGGAAGGATAAAGCGGCTTCTTCTCTCCAACTGTATAATAGAGAAACGAGAAGAAAGTAATAACTACCGGGACCGTGTTCCACACAGCAACAGCGAAAGCCCAGATGATATACTTTAAGCGTAATGCTTTCAACTCATCAGCTCGCTTATCATTGACAATATCAGTAAAGCGTTTTTCCCACGCAAAGTATTTAATGATACGAATGTTCTCTAGGACTTCATTGGTAGTATGGATTCTTTTATCGGTAGCTGCCATAATTTTTTTCTGGGCAGCTCCAAAGCCACGAGCGAATCCAATATTCACAGGGAGAAGAATAGCCATGACAACGAGACCTGGAATACTACTCTTTCCGAGGATACGATAGAGAAGATATACAGCTACGATCAATTGGGTTGGAGCAGCAGCAAAGAGGAAGTGAAGATACGCAGTGACTTCGCTGACTTTGAAAGAATCAACAGACATGAGATTTATGATGGTACCAACATTAGCTTGCTCATCTGTCTTCTTTCCAGCCCCAGTTGCAGTAGCTGGTGGAGTTTGTGCGGCATTAGAAGTTTGCTCACCCTTCTTCTTTCCAAGTGATCTTCGCCACCAGCTAGGCTTCTCTACATCCTTAAGATCTTTCTTTGCGCCAAGAACAGAGTCACTTCCTGATGCAGCCTTTCTTCTTAATGCTTTAGCGTAGATTTCACCAATGATGATTGCCCTGAGCCTTATACAGATCTTGCGGCCAATCCAAAGGGCCTGCTGATCAGCGAGCGAGCGAAGAATATCTGTAAAGGCAAGAAGAATGACGTATAGCCAGATGACATTGCGAGGCGCCGAATCTGGATCTTCAATGTATTCAAGAATAGCTTTCAACAGCAATGTAGGTGCAAAGTTGAAAAGGCCGGAAAAGACGGCATAAGCACACTGTATAGTAAGAAGACCTTTAAAGTAGCGCATCAAATGCCATACTAAGGCCGACGTCTTTTTGAGTAGTCTGTAGTCTGCCAAAACAGCTGCCGCTTTGTCCTTTGGCATCAGGTTCCAGACATCTCCGATTTCGAAGGTGTTGATATAGCCGTGCCAAACAATAGAATCGACCCATGCGAAGGTAGCAATGGAAAACAAGCTGGCCAACGGCTCTTTTGAGGGTTGAATGTCTCCCTCCCACTCCAAGACCACAGCCTTGTTGCCCTTGCGTGTAGTAATTGCGAGTCCGAAAAGGAACGAAGAGAGGATGAAATCCGAGATAATAAGTCCCTGGCTGACTCTGGAACGCGGGTGGATGATCGCGGAGCGGAATATAACCAGCGAAAAGAGCCACTGTGCAGTGTATAAAGCAGCCGTGTGATTCCAAATCTTTGGGACTCTCCATTTCGTATTGGAGAAAGCAAATCTCAAACTTGCGAGTATCAAAATATAGGTCCAGGTAAAGATTCCAGCAGTGGCGGCCACAACCCCCTTTGAACCATATGCGCCGAGTACGAAAACTGCGATCTGGATACCAAGTTCTACCGTGATTGCAAGAAGCTCAATAACTGTCAAGGTGTTCTGGCCTCTAGGACTATCAATGGCAGCAACCGATCCTTGAGTGATCGTTTTCGTCAATACCAATCGTCCACCGCCATTTATCGACAACCCCTCGTCTTCGTCATCGACAGCGGTGTGCTCGTTTCCGTTTGCAATTGCCTCCCCATTATGATGACTGAATCCATTGCCACTTATCGTTGTACGGTCAATTGATCCCGTTCGCAGTTGTCGATACTTGGGTTTCTGTTTTAACTTTATTTTCCGGCGGACCGCAGATGTTATTAGGATGAGGAACGAGAGGCCGATGACTATTAGCGGAAAGAGTACTTTCAGATAACTTTTTGCGGTTAGTCTTCGGGCTGGCAGCAGACTGTCTGCTTCCACTTACTCTCTCTGTACACAGTTTGTGAAATCATCGATTTGCCATATAGGCCCACGGCATTTGCCCAACATGTTGTTGAGTGTGAATAGTAGGATGGCGATTGAAACGTCTCGAACGTATTGTGTGGAGGTAGTCTTAACGTATCATTGAATTGGCTAATCAAGTAAAATAATTATTATTTCCTGCTTATAAACAATGACTATCGGCGAGAAAACCCCAAAGAGGTGATAAATTAAACCGAGAGCGTAAAGCTGTAGTATATAATGGGAGAAGAGAAAGCAGAAGAAAAAGAAGAAGAAAAGAAGCAGCCAGATAGTTCACTACCAGATCTCCGAGTAAATATATATATAATGAGGATTTATGTACTCGGAAGTTATGGTGGGAGAGGAAGAGAATGAAGTTGTATGTGAGTGAGAAAGGATGAAGGAGGTGGGAGTTGGAGGGTTGGAATGGATGGGATGTTGGGAGTGGTGGAGAGAAGAGCTTTGTGATTTGTGATGGATGGAGGAAAAAGTGACTAATTGCATGCATTCATACATAGTACATACCTTTCTTTACCCTCCCTCTACTCTGACTGTCCTATGATGAGATTTTTACTTTTATCTGCAAAAAGAGTTCAAGTTAAGCATGCACCATACATACAAGTACGAGGTACGATAGCAGATGGACTGTTCCCATATTAACCTATGTGATGCGCATCCACCCTCGAGCCACCAACTCTTTCTGGTCCCACTTAGATAATATTGCCCCACTTGATGAGGGAAGAGAACTTAGAGAAGTCGAAGGACTCAGTGTCAGTCACTCCAGGAGAGAGAGGCTTTGTCTCGGATTGTTGATACTCAATAGTACGTACGGAGTAGCTTTGTCAGTCGGAGTTGTAGCACAGAGTCCATTCATCATACTCATCAAGATTCCAATTCCGTCTTCCGAAGCCAATCGGTGAATGACTATGAGATATATTCTGCAATAATCGTAATCTTACATACCCACGTGATACCTCAATACGTTTTGTACGATACCTGGTCCATACAGACAGACATCTGTACCTCGTTCGCCTAGGAAGACATACTTCACAATGCTGGAAAGGTTAACCTCTCAACGGGAGCACAACAGGGAACTTCTTGGAACGTTGATTGCATTTTACCTTTTTTCATCAAAACACTCATTTTGTTGCTATGGTATTATGATTGCCCTCGTCACCATTGGTATACGTATACGATACTTTGGCCAAGGGATATTGAACAATCGATTCCATGGATGTTTCCTACACGAATCTGCCAAATGCTCTACTCGGTCGGCTTGCATGACTTCGGTGTCTACAATGTACATGGTGTGGAGTGTGCTATCAGTGTGATATCACTTTGATCCCGATAGGTGGTATCTATCGACCTACGTCGCCATGACTACGCATCAACCTCCAGCTTATTCTATACATGACATGGTGCACATATATATAATATGAGATCGATCGAGGCATCAACATGACGACTTGTCGACGATGCGACGCCCTCTCTTGATTCTGGACTCTTGACACCCCCAGAAATAGACATTGATCTATTGCCATTTAACCGCCATGCAAAGGCGGTCATCAATGATCAATCAAACAATCGACAAGGGAATCGGCATTAGTTCTCTTATCCTAGGATACGACGATATCTACCTAGCAATTCTAGAACAACCCAACCTTACCCCGCGAAGGATTGCTTTTGGATTGCTTCTTACATTCGTACTTCTTACTTGGATCAAATGAACTTCACAGTTTTCCTCGTCTCAAGATCAAATCATTAACTTCTACCATCCATTGATTGATCAATTGATTTCATCACAAGCTTTACTCCGTACTTCGTACATACAGTTTTCTCCCTAGGACCCATCTTCAGACCCTCATTGCTATCAACGGTTCCTGACTACTTCGTGTAGCACCCCTTCATTCCTGCACCACTCTTCCATCTCCACACTTCCACCCACACCGCCATCACTTATCGGAACGAAATCCCCCAAAACGTCTGAGAAAGAAACTTTTGGCCGACCTGAGCGTCGGCGACCTATTAAGGAAGGTGCTGTCGGATATGGTAGCCGCATCTTTCACCTTGCACTGTGCACAGTGGACACGATGATCGTGATCAGGAATTTTTTTGGCTTTCATCACTTGCACAACACAAACACCCGTTGAACAAAGCTATTCATTATCTGATTCGTCGAAAATCCATCCTTATCTGTGCATTACATTACAGTAAACCATGTGCGATAAGGGCTCTGACTCAAATGTCAAAATTACCCGATGCCACGCTCTGTTCTGTATACCTCCAGGGCTAGGTAGGCTCGTAGGTAACAGAAAACGTCGATTTTGTGGCTTTCCGTCGTGTCACCTGCTTTGGCTCGTGGATTTGATCCCTCCGAAGCCATGCATGATGGCACTTATAGAAGATGATTTTTTACTAATTCTGCAGGTTCATTGGGCAATCGATAGATTTGAAGTTTGATATTTTGACCTGTCATACACAGATAGTCGTCTTGAAAAGGAAAATAAATCCTCACGCCTCGATTTCAATTCATCTTAAGAGTCGTTGATTGAGATCATCGACGATGGAAGCCTAGTAAGTTTACTATATACTTCAAAAATTACTAGATCTTAGTAGATAGCTAGTCCAAAATAGTCTCCCCGACTTACACAAGCATTTTCTCAAGCCAGAGGATATCATATCATCTCATATCATCTACCTACTCTTCATACTTCTGTTCATTTCTCAGCCCAATTCAATGCCGAGCTTACCATGTTATAAATTGATGAGATGAGTTGAGCCCGTTCCGAGAGTGGGAAGTAGGCTCCCGAGCCAGCAAATTGAAAAGTTGACAATACTCTCACGACTTCCTAATCGTGTAATATTCGGAGATGTACTCCATGCCATCTCCTTGATTGCCATACTTTTGCACTCATGTCATACATCCAACCTCACCTTTGGTTCCCTTCCGTTGGCCCATTCCTGTTCGAAACAGCAAACAAATTTCAACGTTCCATACCTTCTTAAAGAATTCTCCTTTGCCGTCTAAATTTTCCGAATGGCACGATGCATTACAAAACAGCGTATTGTATTCTCCGAGATGACCTGCCAAGCAAACTGCTACGGCTGATCCCTACGTCACGTCTTCTTACAGTCTAAATCTCTAGCTTTTTGAGCCTTCATCATACACCTCAATGACTGCATATGCAACCTGATTTCGTTCTGGAAAGTTTACCGCACATATGATCAATCACAGCTACTTAGGTAATATCCGCAACTCTATCAACCATTGCCAAGATATCACATCTAGTATTCACCAGATGACCCCTTTGTTTCTCAAAGGCGCATCGACCCTAGATTTTACGGAGAGAATCGCACCTGGAAAGGACATTGTTGTATAGATGAGTCCACCTTGCAGCCCTGGAAACAACTCGCATTTTGCTTTGCTTGGGCTGTTGAAATGTTTCAAGAAAGAAACGAAGAATCTATGGCACAAACGCTGGTAAACATGGTCACCCAAGTCCTCTACAATATGTATTTCAGAGAGGCAGGATATACGATGACAACCTCAATCTCATTTTCTTCAACAACCATATCATGCGCACATGCGAAAATCCATATCCCATGTTCCTGTCCATACAAGAAACTGACGCCGTGCTAGGTATCTACACACAGCGTACCCATACAGACTGGCCCAACATAGACCATTACCAGTACTGCCCATTTTCATGCTACCCAACTCCTAGCCAATCTCAATCCCAACCTCAACTCCAACTTCGACCAAAAGATAACCACAATTTTACCCCATTTCACAACACAACCCTTCAAACAAACCTAAATGATTCTCTCAAAACATCTCACCAATCAAAAGCTTCTTATCCCACAAAGAGAATCACAATCCTATTCTTACCAGCCCAGCCCGTCTCATCCCATCCCATCCCAGAATACTTTCCTTTTCATACCCCACTTCAATCCTAAATTTACAGATTTCCTATTCCCTACCAATCTCCACTCCCCTAAAGTCATCTTCCTCCACTCCCACTACAACCCCTCGGCCCTTCAAATTATAACCATGATTTACAATCTAGCCGAAATGCCCTCCTCAGGGCCTCTAGTGAATAACACAACATCACAACACAAATATTACCATATACCATATACCATATGCACTTAAACCCTACTAAAACTACACTAGCACTGAACCCTATCAAATCAAGCGTTTTTCTTATTTCCTATTCCCTAGATAAATACATCCCCACACATTCCAGTTCGCGAAAAAAGACTCAACTCCTCAACTCAATTTTTCATCGACGTCCTATCTCATTATATCGTCTATTTAATCTAAAACCGTATATATACCTACCTACCCTCGCTACAATTCCTACCTATCCTCGCTACAATCTTCATCCATCCACTAATCCTGCAGCAAAAAGAGAAAGAGAAAGAGAAAGAGAAAGAGAAAGAGAAAGAGAAAGAGAACGAGAAAGAGAAAGAGAAAGAGAAGAGAAAGAGAAAGAGAAAGAGAAAGAGAAAGAGAAAGAGAAAGAGAAAGGAAGAGAAACGAGAAAGAGAAAGAGAAAAGAGGAAAGAGAAAAGGAAAGAGAAAGA